TAATTTATATTTCATATTATTAATCTCGCCTAGTTGATGTTTTCATTTCTGCCGTGTAGTCTAAAGCACATCTTTTTTTTTACTTTTACTTACCTATATGTGAAATATATAAGGGATCAGTTTTCAACGAAAATACATGTTTTGAGGTCCCCTGAGTCGAAATAACCAAGTCCCACAAAGTGGTCTGTGTGTGTGTTAACAGTGTAGCTCTAAAATAGAAATTGGTATGAAAATGAAATTGCATATTTAAGGTTTTTATATTTTTGGGATGTTACAGCAACTTTTTCGTCGAAATCGGATAACCGGAAGTGGCACTTTATATTATGGACTAAACACATTTTTACGATTTCATCGAAAACGGCTTTAACGATTTTAATCAAATTCATTATATCAGTGTAAAATTAAGCAGATATAAATAAAATGTGAATTTTATTCTGATTGATGTTCTCTAGCAGGGCTTAAATGACCAATTTTCAATATTAGCTTTCTCTAAAGTACCTTTAATTTTCTTTATTTGAAACAATTGACTATTTCACATTAATCTATAACATAAAAGATAGTTATGTGTATATATGTATATATACATATATATATATATATATATATATATATATATAATATATATATATATATATATATATATATAATATATATATATATATATATATATATATATATATATGGAGATCTGACGGCTCAATCTAATTCAGTATCCACAAAAAAAGTGCAAAACGCGCCCAAAGTTTTCACTCAAAAAAAAAATATATAAATCACACGTTTTTCATATATTTAATCATATAAATAATTAGTTATATATTTAATGTGTTTTTAATTGCGTTTTGATTTTTTTTTAAGTGTTCGTTTGTCTCGGAAAGTACTTCACCGAATGCTTTATTGTTGTTGTTTTGGGTTTAGGAGCAAAAATCACTGCCCTCAAATAGTACTGATTGATTTATTTTTCAATCTTAAAACTACTATTACAAAAATAAATATGTTTTAAAAAGGAGTAGAAAAAATATATACATAAATTACTATCGAGGAGAAAAAAAAAAAAAAAAGTATAGAGTTTATAGAAATTAAGTCAATATATCGAAATTTGTGAGAAAAAGTAATTTAGTTCAAATTAGATGAATTAGCCCTATGTTCTTAATGAATTCAATGGTACCGAATGCTTTGAAATTGTAGATTAACGTTGCATTAAAATAGGTACTTGCTGGTATAAAACATCAGTTAAAACTATTTTTCAAACAGCACCATCTGTTGGATGTAAATGTAACACACGCTGTTCAAAATATTTTACGATAACATTTCAATGTTTCAGATTTACGAATATTAAATGTAGCATTACGTTGGAATTGATCTTTACCTTTTACTATAGCGTTCGTTTCGTGTGCATTACAGCTGTCTTCGTTTTTCACCAAGTACTAACGGATCCAGGATTTAATTTTGTGGGGCTTCAGCCTGAAAGATTTTTTTTTTCCATATATATAACGATAATTAATTTTTAAAAAAAGAAACCAACTAACTATATGACATGGTGTTTAAGTGATTCTTGAAGTCCTATTAATTGTAATTACACGAACAATAATACTTTTAGAGATATAGCTTTTAATATTTTTTTCTATAAAACATGGTTATATCTTACCATTTGGGGGAGGGCTTCAGCCCGAAAGCTACCTCCCCACTATAGATCCGCCTGTGTCCCCAAGTGATGATTTGGCATAAATAGTTCCTTATGCCTAAGATATTTGATTGCCCTCTTTTTCTTAAAAAACGACTTAATTAAATATATATAATTCTAGTGGAAAATAAATCTTGTTCCTGAGATAAACCCTACGGTTAATAGCAGCGCTTACTTCCAATGTACTGTTAAACAAAGTACTTTTACCAAAAATGAAAAAAACCGAAATCTTCGGTCGGTACAATTTTTTTCATTTCGGAGATGATCCTTATCGATTTCGGTCATTTTTTTTTAATTCGTAGGGAATTAAAAGCTTTCAAATAGGTATTATCAAGCAAAAATTGTGTACTTTTTTAGTTATTTGCAAATATAGTTAGGTCTTAATCCATTGTAATTTATTTTCATCCTCTATTCAGATAAATTTTAATTCGGTCATATAAATAAATTATAAGGACTCCAAGAAGAAGACTTCAGCCATGTTTCATTAAAATCGTTACACCCGTCTAGGCGCTATATAAAGTCTATACCGACACACTTTTTCGGCCGCTTTTCCGAAACGAAAGGCCGGATAGTAATTAATTTTTTATAAAAAGACTCCTGAATGCAATAGAAGCGTTGTGTCAACATTTTAAAGCAATCGGTGAAGAACTTACGGAGATCAGAGATTTCGCACAAACGAACATTTACATTTTTATTAACATGTATTTTAAATTTTGTTGCTTACCTTTGTCTTTTATCTAGCGAAACGTTGGCTTTTGTTAATACTTAACCACTTTGTTCTACTTTCGGAGTCCCTTTAACTGATTATTGTGAAAATATAAAATCATGATATCTTCGTTCAATAACGGCGCATATATCAGTCTTGAAACATTGAAAACGAGAACGGCAAAAATTTATTTTCAGTAGACAGTAATAACTTCTATTACTAATTATTTATAATACAACTCCAATGCCATTTTAGATAGCTTATCATAATCAAAGGGTGCCTGGATTCATTACTTCAATTTTTATTTATATAGATTTTAAATATTGTTGCTAATCATTTTGTTTTAACTTACTATTATTTTTTTATACTACATAAATATGTCATATTTTTGATCGGATTATAACTGTCCTATTTAAGGCATGGTGCTTGTTTGTGTTTGGGCCGAAACGTTGGCTTTTGTTAATACTTAACAATATTGTTTTACTTTCGGAATCCCATTAACTGATTATTTTGAAAATATAAAATTCTGATATATTCGTTCAATAACGGCGGATATATCAGTCTTTAACAATGAAAACGAGAACGGCAAATCTTTAATTTAATTTACTTCTATTATTTATTATTTTTAATAAAATAACAACACCATTTTAAATCGTATACCATAATTGCAATCTGGCTATTGCCAGAACTCCAATAATTTAAGTTACTAAGATAATAAATTAAAATTAATTAATATAAAAGATTTTCGCTAACGAATAGTATTCACTGGATTAATGTTAGTGTGCTCATAGTTTTAATGTGCTTTACTTGACGAAATGAAGTTACTAAGTAAATACGGGAAGGGGCTACATAATACATCTTCCAATCGATTCTTCAAACAATCGATTTAATAAACAGGATTATATTAATTATAAAATATGGTGGTTTTTCCCATTTGTCTTCAAGAAGACAAACTAATTTATTTCTTATATGGCTGAAGGGTGCTCGATGGGTTTTTAGGTAGATTGGTTTTACAATGATTGCTTTGTTTATTTTATGTATAAGAAATCATTAATTATAATTGATATATCTCACGGGTTTGTCAGTTTTTAGTTAAAATTTCTAGTTGGTCTACTACTGGTTGGTAAAACAATATTCTAACATAGGAATGAAAAGAAATTCTCATTGGATAGGGTATTTTTGGTAGATTAAAATTACAAGATTTAAGTGTGGTCTAAGTTCTGATTTGAGGTTATAGGTTTTAATCTATTTTAAAGGTTTATTGTTGTAACTCCGTTCCAAATAGTGACTATACGATTGAAAATGTTAATATTAAACGTTAAGGCATCAAATTCGATGTCCAATGAATACCAACATTTTTAATGTCTGTCATTTACAACTCTCGAAATCGCTCACACCTCTCCACATCTCCAAGTGACCTGTGATTTTCAATGTTTCAGAAGAATGAGTGTTTATTCTACCGAGTTATTCTTGTTTTATGTCCTTGGAAGATAAAAAATATATTTGTAATCTCAGTTTATATTTCTTTAAGCCAATAGTACACCAGTAATATTTTTATTTCCAATCTTTATTTTGGAATGACGACGTTTCGGCTCATCGAGGAATTTTCAAGTCTGAAAACAAAATTTCCATATTAAAGTTATTTACAATATTTTTTGTTAATTATTATATCTGTTATGTTTTAAAAGTAAAATTATCATTCCATTTAAAAAGAAAGGTAAAAAATGATACTGGACTCCCCATGTTGGGCCTTTTAAGGAAGTTGACTCGTCCTCCTCGTTAGTTTCGCTCCTGCTTCCATTGTCGTCTTCCTACTACCGACCCCTCTAGGTTTACTAATCAGGCAAAGATAGAGTGTTCGTCACTACTCCGAGGTGTAAACGATTCAAACTTTCAAAATCCACCTCCAGCCGCCCACAGTGGCGATACTTACTCCTACTGTTTCATCGACATTGTATCTAAAAGTAGACATTGCCTTAAGAGGTAGACATTGCCTTAAGAGGTAGAGAGATGTGTTTCCGTTTACTTGTCATAGAGAGCTTATGGTTCCAGGCCAAACTCTACCGTTATTTTCCCTTCTCGTGAAAACACGTAATATAGTCCGTGAGCCCGTGGCAAAAAAAAACGTGACTCATTTCGTATTTATATTTCGCCTTATAAATTGACGAAGTACACAGGCCTTATGAGAAATAGGCACGTCTGTCAGCATATAAACAACATAATATAAAATGGTGGCCAGGTGGTTTATACATAGATAACCTATATTTAGAGAGATCCTAAAAATGTACAAAGCTGCCAACCGTTTAATATTACAGAATTTACTTTATAGACAATAGCGTATCTCAACCCCGGGTTGGATTCACGGCCGATCTCACACGATATATAACTATCTGCTACAAACTTAGTACAGTGCTTTAATAACTGTGCTAACCCTTTAGTAAGTGATTTAAAACTATGTTGAACTTTCTCAATGAGCTTATAGTATGTGCTAGAGCTATTCATAAAATGAAACATATGTGTATTATATGAGGTATAAATTAATTTTTGGAGAATATTCATTTCTCATTAATTTTTTTTTTTTTAAGATTTCTTTTTCAGATAAATTTTATTTACTCATTTTACGTCTGTAAAGACGTAGATCGAGGAAGAGAACAGCGGGCTCCGACAAGAACGCTGACCCGAAACAAAGTGAAGAGGAAGAGAGGCGCAGTTAGTTGGGCGGAGGGGCCGGAGGGGAAGCGAGCAGGCGGTGGAGGGGGAGAAAGCAAGATGGCCGCCGGCTTGTTGACGAAGGGCCCTAGCATGGCCTCCCTTCCCCCACTCCCCTCCGTCCATCCCCTCCCCACTGGTCTTCTATTTCAATTCTCAGTATAGGATCAGTGGCTTGTGGGCTGTGTTGATCCGATTTTGTTGTACTTTCCTCGTATGTAAACCCGGAAACATAGAGGAATATAATTAATAATGATTGGCATTAGGACTTGCTTTACTTTTCCTTATTGACCTATTGTCTTTGTTTTAGGTACTAATTAAAGTTTCTCAATTATTCTAATGTTTAGTTTTAAGTAATTGACTGCAATACCATTCGTCATCCCTTTATACATACATTTAAACCTACGTCTATAGGGTTACTTATCAACATAATTTCAAGACAGGATTTTTTTAAATTAATGATCATATCGTTATTTGTACCAACGAACATTACACACGTCCATTTCAGCTGCCGTGATAGTGTCACTATAAGTCTGGTGCAGGTCAAGAGTTTCGATCTTGTTTCAAGTACTTACTATAAATCATAACTCATGGAAAATTATTTAAATAACTTTACCAATGCACTTAATATATTTATTACAAATAAATGATTCTAATATAGCTGTGGGGAAAAAAAATTAAAGAAAAAAGTAATATGACATCCTGTAAGCTAACAATATCGTAGATTTATGAGAGGAAATTTTAACATGAACATTAGTTTGTCATTAAAATGGAACGAAAACTTGTTTTCGGCGAAGAACTTTCTAACAGCATTCTGTATTTAAAAAGTGGTCTTTTTATGTCTACAAAAATTTATTTTTTTATTCTATATTTGTATAAGGTTTATCAAGAGGTTTAAAATAACGTTTTTGTACATACAATTTAAAATTTTCTCTTCATTTTGTTTATGAAATATTATTTTTAGTAACTTACAAAGACTCTCCCTTACTCTTTAACTTTGACGTTTGGGTGATCTAACCTTGATTTTTCGCAACATTTAAGTGAATGAGCTTTTTAAATAAAAATCGATATCTTCATTCTCTTTTTAATTAATCTAAAACGAATTGTATTATATTATAATGAATTTGTTTATTTTCGAACTATTCTTCAAACATAGTTCTTAAAATAATAATTTCTAAAATTACTTAGAACAACTGAGAAATAATAATAATAAACATTTTTAAACTTATTTATTTATAATATTTACAACTGTACTAAAATAAAAAGACATCTAGTAAATGTGAGCAAAGGTAAAACAAGCGAATATAAAGACATGAAAACGTTTTTTGAGAAACTACCTACTGGCAACACTCTACTAGTATATCTACTGATGAATATGTTGTTGATTATTGAAATTGTAAGGGTGAAAAATGACCAGGATGTGCAGTCAAAAATTTGTTTATTATGTTTACCGACATTTTGACCCAAACATGACAGATAAAAATAACACCAGAAAAATGATAATTATGAAAGTATAAGAAAAGAATAAAGTAGAAATGAAATAACGGTTACATAAATATAGCAAGCAATATGCTAGTTTTTGTGTTATAAATAGACGAAAAGTCATGAAAAGTAAAATAAACCAAATAATTAGTGTAAATAAAAAAAAAATTCAATAAATGAAGAACAAGTACTAAAAATAATGTATATACATATAAATTAACAAACATGATACAATAAGGAATAGAAATAGAGACTAATATATATTTTTTATCATTTACTCATGATATTTACATCTGTATAAAAAGAAATACTTCTAGCAAATTAGTAAAAATGGATATAATCACATGAAAACTCTTGTTGAGACACTACCCACTGGCAACACTCTACTAATATATCTACATAAGGAGATCTTCAAGTTGTATTGTTTTTAGTTGCCTAGGAGGGTTATCAGGGATCGAAGATGAAGCAATGTTTGAAACGAGAGGATTTAAATGGTTCTGAAGTTTCTTATGGAAGAAAAGTCTGGATTGGGCCAAATCGGAAACATGTGTTACATTATGGTCGCTACGATGTTTTTATTTGTGATTAAGTAATGGCCATTGAGGATTTTAGGAAGAATTTGGGTTGTAAGGATTGGATGCGAGAGGAATTCGATGGTTTAGTGGAGCCCCAAAGCTCAATCCTGGAAATCCAAATTGGCCTTGTAATATATTTTTATAAGTTATTAAAACAAAGAAAGTATTAAAAATAATTTCTATATCCAATTTTTACAACTTTATTTTGTTGGAACATAAGTCCTTTCGGTTTTTCTGTTTATTTGTATGCCATTATGATACACTTCTTATCTGATAAATTAATCCCTTAGGTGGATTGTTTATCCTGTTTGTAATATTTCAACAACTATTGTTGAAACTAGCTAAGTATTGTGTTTGCTATTCCACTGTGGATATGGAAGAAAATATCACTCATTATCGCCATATTTATTGCAGTTTTATGGGAATGATGTATTAACCGAACGCACCTGCCAAAATTGATTTACCAAATTTCATTCAGAAAATTTTGACATCAATGATGCTCAACGGTCTAGTCGGCCAAATGAAATTGAAACGAGCAATGTTAAGGCCATTGTTGATCAAAATCCCACTCTATCAGTGCGCGAGATTGCTAAGGCCCTAAATGTTTCGCACGCAAGCATAGAAAACCATTTGCACTAGCTCGGCTATGTTTCCAGGCTTAATGTTTGGGTCTGATGAATCCGAAAATCACAAAAAATGTTATAACTTCAATACAATTTTAGCTATCTACAAGAAATTTAGCAGTAATTCGGGGTCACATAAACTATACAAAATGACACCAACAGGACCTTCGTAAACAAACCACAAATGGAAATAAAAAATAAAAACCTATAAGGAGTTTTGTTTATTTATTTCTTATGTAGGCATTAAATCATTACACCATTCATACGGCTTTGAAGAGAAATAATTCAGATTTCCAACGGATATAGTAACATCGAATTTGGAGAACATCCTGAAGAATTATGAATGATCGGAAGGGTGTTGTGTTCCACCAAGACAACACTAGTCCCACACCTCCTCCCTCATTGGTCACTCGCAATAAATTATTGAGCCTTGGATGGGACCTTTTGCCCCACTCTCCCTATTCACCAGATCTAGCTCCAAGTGACTACTACTTATTCAGGAATTTGCACAACTCCATGAATGGAAAGAAATACCAAAAGGAAGAGGACATCAAAAACCACTTGAATTATTTTTTTAACAATAAACTTCAGACATTCTATGAACATGGCATTATGCAGTTAATGGAAAGATGGGAAAAAATCATATTAAATAACGTTAAATATATTGTAGATTAAAATAAATATAATGTCTATAATAGATTGAATATTATTTCACCCTGAAAAACCGAAAGGACTTATTTGCCAACCCAATACAATGATAGACATTCTAATAAAAACTTCTTTTTAAGTTTTTAAAAACCACCCTCATGCGGGTGGGTCTCAAGGTATAAATATATAACAACGAAATTTGTTAATATTTTTGTTGACATAAAAATGTAACTTTTGAATGCTATAGGAATTATTTCTATGCCGAAAAAGCGTTTCAAGTTCGTAGCTTTAATATATTCAACATAGAAGATGGCATATAAAAATAAATTATATACAAACAGATCTAACTTGTTCTTGATCTAAGAATTAATATACCATTGGCAATAAATATAGAATTAACCAGTATTACTGTAAATTATAATTGTTTAAAATATATATGCATCGTTAATGTTGACATCGAATTCATTATTTATCTCTTTACAATGGCGTTTTCATCCATGAAAATAGGTAACTTAATTTTATGTTTAAGGAAATTTTAATTGGTAATTTTGTTCAAATCTGAATCTTGCGATTCAGGAGATTTCGGCAAAAAAACTTCAGTGAATCTTCAGTTAAAATCACGGCAGAAGATGTTATGGGGAAAAAACGGCGTACTTCTATTATTTAGTTATTTGTGGTACTAGTTAATTAGAGTATCACAACTTCTTATAAATTAAATTATTTAAGATAAAAAACATATGTTTATATAGGCAAACCTAATTTTATTTATTTCGAATAAAAAATCTTTTACGTCCACTAAAATTTGAGAAAACGGATTTTTTTCTTGTGGAGTGCACCATATGAATTCTGCTAAACAAGATGCTAGGCAATTCCGATTTGTTCCTCTTGTTTTGTTTCCTCATTTAGCTTATCCCCATAATCTTTCGACTTTTTGCGCATTCGCTAATAATTTTGAGGTTCAACAAAGTGATATTTATACTTCACAGTTTGATGTTTGTAGCCTATTCTGTATATATTCATGTATCATTTCGATCAATCTGATAAAACTACACTACTTGGATGTTTGAATACATATGTAAATTACTTCTGACAGTATGGATTCTGATCTGTCCTTAACTAATTCCAAAAAACATTCATTGGTCTTCCGGCAAATCCCTCCGAAAACCCATTGTCGAGGAAGGGTGCGTTCTACGTTGTACTTCCTTTTCGTAAATATTCTTTCGTCTGTTTCCTCAAATTAAATGTATCCCGCAATACTAGTTTTATTTTTTCAATTTTCCATATACACACTTCACTAAGGTAATTATTCCATACAACCGTTTTGGGTTGAGACATTTTTAAAAGTTTCAAACTTGTTAATTGCTCTCATCACGAATAAATAAAGCGTACTGCAGTTTATAAAGTTACTTTAGAATCAACGAACCATGTTTCAGTCCTAACCCGACGCTTTTCCAACAACTTCGTCTGTAGTTTTTTTTTTCCAATAAAGTTTCATTTCATGGTCGTTTGCGGGGGTCCCCAGAAGGGGGTTTCATAGCGCAAGGTGCGCCATCAAAAATTTTGAGGGGACATATTTTGAGCGTTTTTTGAATTTTTGAGGGAAGGACAAATTTCTACGGGGTTATGAATTTTCGGACTATGGGATAAGTGGAAAAACATGGAATATAGCAAATATGATTCTATATGATCTATGATTATTCTCATTATACCTTAGCTTGCTCTGTTTTTAAAAAAAGGTGAGCAATAAAATATCTTGGGGAGAGGAAGAGGGAAGTAGGTTCTTGCTCCTTCAAGTTTG